CCCTCCCCTCCCCTCCCCTCCCCTCCCCTCCTCCCTCTCCCTCTCCCTCTCCCTCTCCCTCCCCTATATATCCTCTCTGTGTGTGTTTGCTATATATCCTGGTTACTGTCTCCTTATTTTTCTGTTTCTTATCTGTCACCTTCTAGTGAAAAATAAATGTTATGTAGGGCAAAATGTCTGCTTTTCTAATTCTTAATGCCCTTCCTTATTTCTTTTGCCTGCAGTAACATAAAATTGGAGAGTGCATCCACCTCCTCTCTTGAAGATAGGGTGAAAAGAAACATTCACTCTATCCAAAGGACACCAGCAGCCCTGGAAAAAAACTTCATGCGTCGATGAAATTGTTTTGTGTTCTATCACTGGCGCGCTAAGGACTTGCATATTTTTCTCTGAGGAGCGACTGACCATTCAGGAAATCTTCACAGGCCAGGCTATCTTTTTCCTTTGTCCGGAGAGCACAAGGGAGTTCGCTGTGATATTCCATTACAATGTGTGTGTTTTTTTTAATTAAGGTATTTTAAATGTCTGCAATTTGATGTACTCCTTGCAAGCCAATTTGTTAGAAAGCTCTGCCCTTTCTTTGATATTTTATAATAATATAGCACTATAAAAGGGTTATAAGAGTTTGGCCTCTATTCCCAGTGAGCCCCAAAGAAAACATGAAATCAAAACAGGCTGTTCTCTTATTTTTAATGGTATTATAAAGAGAAGGATTATTACAGAAGCTTTCATTGTCTGATAATAGTTCCTCTGCCTTTCATGTTCTTAAGAATGTGATATACCTGGGTCCAGACTAACTGGGCTTATACTTCTGTTTTGCAGAGTTTTATCTCCTTCCTCTCCAGAATGTGTCACAACATTTTTATTTGATGCAAGATATAACACTTGCAGTAGAGAGAGAAGTCCCTTTCCTAAAAGGAGAGAATAATTCTATTCATTGTTTTTTTTACTGGAGACATGCACATTCTGTGCACAAAACAGCTTCTGTAATGAGCAAATTTTCTTAATGAAAAGGAAAAAGGGAACAGACAAACCTTTAGAACTGCAGCCTTTCACATTTTATGACATGTAAATACTGAACTTTGTATATCTAGCTGGCATTTAATATATGTATACCTCTTTATGTAGTTTTTTAGCATTTTTGTAGTATTTTTAAATATTCTGAAAATGTATATAGATTTTCTACATTTTACATTCTACATTTTATATTAATGGCTCTGGATAGCTTACAGGGTACAGTAAAAAACGTTAATAACATTCATTTAAACGTTTAAGGAATAACAGATAAACAGGGCCATTAAAAGGCCTAGGAAAATATTGCCAGCTTGCTTCTAAACTGTAGTAAGGAAATGGCTTGCTTAAATTTGGATAGCAATTTATTGCATAATATGACCATGCTCTAGAGAAAGTCGGATGGGTTGTTAATCAACAGGTTGTTAATCAAAAACAATTCCTGTGGAAAGACTTGCAAAAGATGCCCCTTTAATGACTAAGAGTGCAGTGCTGAATGGAATAGATGGGACTATAAGTAGCATGGGCCTAAGCCATATACAATTTAATATACTGTTGCAAGCACCTTGAACTGGGCTTGAATTAGCAAAGTTGCTTTAGCATGAGAGTAATGTAGGACCCCAAGAAGGCCCCATTCACCACTAATAAAAACAATTCTAGGTCAGTTGTGGTAAAGGCTGCCCCACAAGGAATACTTTGCAGTAGTCCCTCTATGAGGTTACCAGTACATGAGTCAGCAAAGCAAGGTCTCATTCATATAGAAATGCACCTGTTGCATCAGCCAAAGCTGATAAAAAGGTCTTGCAACTGATGCTACATGTCTGTGTTGGATCCAGGACAATCTCATATTGTAAACCTATTTCTTAAGAATAAACAAACATCCAAAGCAGGTATAGCTCCCAAATCTTGAAGCCCACCTTCCAGCTTCAGTTCATTCTTCCACACCCAATCCCTTACAGCCTGGAGATGTACAGAGGCTCTGGTGACATCTGTTTCCAAGGGTGCAGGAAAGGAGAAATGTGAGTATTATCAGCATATGCTACTAGCATACAGGTAGTCATCACTTAACTACCACAATTGGAATGGCAACTGTATCTCAAAGCAGTGTGATCATTAAGCGAGACGTGATCACAGTGGATTTATGATCTCACTTCCACTGTGTTCATTAAGCGAGACGACATATGATAGCAACTTGTGATTTTACTGCTGGCTTCTCCATTGTCAGAAGCTGGCTATGAAGTGCACAAATGGCGATCACATGATTGAGGGATGCTGCAAAGGTTATAAGTGTGAGAACCGGTCGTAAAGTTACTTTTTCAACACCATCGTAATTTTGAATGGTCACTAAACAGGGCAGTCATTAAGCGAGGACTACCTGTATTGCTGACAGTTTGACTCCAAATCACAAATGATCCTTCACAGTGGCTTCATCCAGATATTAAATAACATGGAAGACAAGATGGAACCTTGTGGAACCTCCATTCATGACCATTTCAAAGTCAAGCAAAAGTTGCAATATTGTTTTTTAGTTGTGTCCAAAAAAATAGGAGCAGAAACAACATAGAAATATCTCCAAATCCCTGATTTCCTCAAATGGTCCAATGAGATACCATGGTCAATGGTATCAAAAACTGCAGAGAAATCTAGCAGTAATAACAGGATAGTGTTCCCCCTGTCTGTCTCACTACAGATCATCCAACAGGTCAGTCAAGGCAGCATCTTAAATCTCGGAATAAAACCCACATTGGAAAAGATCAAGATAATCCATTTCATCTAAAAGCTCTTGGAGCTGTAAGTGCTATCAACTTTTTCCTGGTAGTTCCACTAAAAACAGAATATTGCATACTGGCAGGTAGTTATTAAAATCAGGTGGATGTAGTGATGGCTTCTTAATCAATTGCCTCTTTAAGGGGAATTATGCATGCAAAAGAGAAGTAGTGGTCTAAGTGATAATTGGCAGGACTGAATTCTTCGTGGCCTTCAGAAGCCGAACTGGATAGGGATCTAATGAAAAAAGTGGCACAATCAAAAACCCTTCTTTTTTCCTCAGGATACCAGCTATAAAACTGATTGGACTGGTAATCAGTAGATGGTGCACATCCTAAATAACCACTGCTCCAAAATGACATGAAGCACAAAAAACTGAGTAATCTTACTTGCTCATAATGAAACTCAGGAGATGTAGGAATGCCAGACTGAACGTTAAAGATTAGAACATCTGTCAGGTTTAGCCCAAAGAACTCCAAGAGACGATGTAAATTCAGTTCTACTGTGTTTATTAGCTACGACCTCTAGACAGAAAATCTCCCCAGACTGAAACCTAGCTCCCAAGCCAGCCAGCCAG